CAATATTTCCCTATGAAAAACCCCTACTATATACATATAAGAATATATCCAACTTAGTTCGTATGACTAGTACTTTAAGTGTTTAATATAAATAAAATTTAAGTGCTTTAACATAAAACGTAATTGTTAATAGAAATTCCAACTCATACTCTCTATATTGTGGGGTTGCTTTGCGTTTTTTGTGACCATAAAATTCTACTAGAAATCACAGTTTTGACAGTTGTGGTCAGATGACTCAAATTCAACAATTGTTGTAAAAAAGTACCCCAAATGTGTGGCTAAATTTAAAGCGAATCTTTACATTACTCCGGTTACTTGTTTCATTAAAATAAAACAATAATTAAAATAAAATTCCCCTAAACACCAACACTAATTGGTTATAATTAGTTTTAAACAACAACAACACAAAAAAATATGAAAATGATTACTCTTATTCTTAATATTATTTTCTAGCCCTTGAGGCTGACCTTACTATCTTAAGTACATGCCACCACCAAGAAAGGTTGTATTAAAGTGTACTCGAGACGTACATACATAAATACATACGTACAACTCCTTAGACAATTAGTCCAGATTGCTAACGAGATTTTCATATCTTAGTTACTTAGTTTTTACGTTTTTTTTTAATGTCGGTTGCCTTTTCTGACATCACAATATCATTGACATCAAATGATGAGTTAATATGATTAAATCTCGCCGTTTAAGTGGTTCGAGTGGTGGGTGTAGCAGAGATTTCAACTACACATTTACCATAGCCAACATTGTTTCACTGTACTTTTAAATTACCCAGGATAATTAAAAGTTTTATAGCTACAGTTCGAATAGAAAAATACCAGACAATTTCTATTTTATATTTCTATTTTCGTTAAAGTTGGTTTTTGTTATTTAAGGAAATCAATGGATTGATTTTAATATTGTATTAAATACAATTCTCAAGTGTTTCAAAACAATACATGTCATTGAGGATAGACAGGAAGACAGAGACTGATAGACATTTAGACTTAAATACATGTGGGGAGTTTAGTTAGGAAAGTATTAATTAAATCAAATCAAGTTATTTGTTCAACATTTTAGTATAACAAATAAAACATGGAAAAAGTATAGTCATGAACGACTATATTATACCTATAGTCTAGTCTATAGTCTATTTCTATAGTCTAGTCTATAGTCTAGTCTATAGTCTAGTCTATAGTCTAGTCTATAGTCCAGTCTATAGTCTAGTCTATAGTCTAGTCTATAGTCTAGTCTATAGTCTAGTCTACTATCTAGTCTATAGTCTAGTCTATAGTCTAGTCTATAGTCTAGTCTATAGTCTCGTCTATAGTCTAGTCATAGTCTAGTCTATAGTCTCGTCTATAGTCTAGTCTATAGTCTAGTCTATAGTCTAGTCTATAGGTCTAGTCTATAGTCTAGTCATAGTCTAGTCTATAGTTGTCTAGGTTCTATAGTCTAGCTATAGTCTAGTCTATAGTCTAGTCTAGTCTATAGTCTAGTCTATAGTCTAGTCTATAGTCTAGTCTATAGTCTAGTCTATAGTCTAGTCTATAGTCTAGTCTATAGTCTAGTCTATAGTCTAGTCTATAGTCTAGTCTATAGTCTAGTCTTAGTCTAGTCTATAGTCTAGTCTATAGTCTAGTCTATAGTCTAGTCTATAGTCTAGTCTATAGTCTAGTCTATAGTCTAGTCTATAGTCTAGTCTATAGTCTAGTCTATAGTCTAGTCTATAGTCTAGTCTATAGTCTAGTCTATAGTCTAGTCTATAGTCTAGTCTATAGTCTAGTCTATAGTCTAGTCTATAGTCTAGTCTATAGTCTAGTCTATAGTCTAGTCTATAGTCTAGTCTATAGTCTAGTCTATAGTCTAGTCTATAGTCTAGTCTAGTCTAGTCTATAGTCTAGTCTATAGTCTAGTCTATAGTCTAGTCTATAGTCTAGTCTATAGTCTAGTCTATAGTCTAGTCTATAGTCTAGTCTATAGTCTAGTCTATAGTCTAGTCTATAGTCTAGTCTATAGTCTAGTCTATAGTCTAGTCTATAGTCTAGTCTATAGTCTAGTCTATAGTCTAGTCTATAGTCTAGTCTATAGTCTAGTCTATAGTCTAGTCTATAGTCTAGTCTATAGTCTAGTCTATAGTCTAGTCTATAGTCTAGTCTATAGTCTAGTCTATAGTCTTCTATAGTCAAGTCTATAGTCAAGTCTATAGTCTAGTCTATAGTCAAGTCTATAGTCTAGTCTATAGTCTAGCCTATAGTCTAGTCTATAGTCTAGTCTATAGTCTAGTCTATAGTCTAGTCTATAGTCTAGTCTATAGTCTAGTCTATAGTCTAGTCTATAGTCTAGTCCTATAGTCTAGTCTATAGTCTAGTCTATAGTCTAGTCTATAGTCTAGTCTATAGTCTAGTCTATCTCTAGTCTAGTCTAGTCTATAGTCTAGTCTATATAGTCTATCTAGTCTATAGTCTAGTCTATAGTCTAGTCTATAGTCTAGTCTATAGTCTAG